CCTGTCAAAAAAAACCAAAAAAAAAAAAAAAATTACTTTAAAAAATACCAATCCAAATTTCCACTCCTCCCCTCCTCCCACTCCCCTCACACCCACCCCCTCCAATCCTAAGAGAGGGCAATGCACCCCACCCTGTGGAAAGTCCAAGGCCCTCCCTACTACATCTAGATTGAGCAAGGTATACATCCAAAGAAGATAGGATTTAAAGAAGCCAGTACATGCAGTAGAGACAAATCCCAGTGTCACTATCAGTGTGTGGGGCACTTTTGAGCCAGGGAGAGGACCATGGTGGTGTCGTGGTTGCTTGCGGTCATCTCAGGTTTTTATCCTTAATATTTATCCCCAAGTTTTATTTTTATAATAAACGGTAAGAGAAATCACTATTCTCGAACATATTCATGCGTTCTATACTCGAGCATATTCATGGTTTCTGTAGACAGTCAAATTCAGGAGGTTGTTCTGGGAGACTATTGGCCAATAGGAAGAGCACTACTCAGCCTTGAACTAAGAAATGAACCCCGTGTAGCAAAGCATGGGGACTCCTAAGTCAGAAGGATGGGGGACATTCACCTAGTGGCTGGGGTAGGTCCCCAAATGAGTGAGGGAGTAGGCCCAGCTACTCCTGCAAGATAATTACATGGTGTGTGTGTGTGGTGTTGTGGGGTTCCAGTACTGAACACAGGTTGTCAGGCTCGGGAGTAAGCAGGTTTACTGAGCCCCTCTCCGGCTCTGCACTTACCTGGTTAACCATGCAGGACTCCAGCTCCTCCTTTGAGAAACCTCTCTGGCCTCGTTCCTTGCTCTTCCAAAAGAGAACAGATTAGAACAGAGACATTCTGGGGTCACAGGGGTGTTCCTACTCCCACCAAGGTGATGCTTAATCCAGACAACTTGAGTATGTTCCTATGTGTTGACTTAATATCCATCATGACATGTCTAGATAGACACATGACATTAATTGAACTTGCAATGGAATAAATGCAAGCATTGCTATATGATCTATTACTGTTTTATCAGCAGCAACCAGGGGTTGTTGAAATGGGACAGTTTACGTCAGGAAGAATCGTGGCTGTAACCCCCCTGGCAAGAATAAAGATATTTGGCTGTCTGGCTATTAAAACAATGGACCCCAAAGAAATTGAAATTTCCCCTGGGGTCTCACGTTGTGAGTAAAAAGTGCCAAAGCCCAAAGGGCAATTAGAGGGGGGACTTGTCTCCTTGAGAAAGAAACATTTACAAATTATCAGTACCTTACAGAAGAGATTAGCGCTGACAGCCCTGTCCTGGACTGCTTAGTTTGCTTAGGTATAGAAATCTTTTAAACCTGAGTCTCATGTCTGGACCTAGAAGACAGACTTGGAGTGATCAGACCTCTTTTATTTGTCCCTCTTCAAATCCTCCCCCCATCTTTTTTTTTTTTTTTTTTTTTTTTTTTTTTTT